TGGGCCTTAGCCTTCCTTGTCGCATCCCTGCACACTCTGACAACGTCCCTGTATTCCTCCCAAGTGGCCTGTCCCCTTTGCCACATTCTGTACACTTCCTTCTTCTGTTGGAGTTTTGCCAGGAGCTCCTTGCTCATCCACGCAGGTCTCCTGCCCGCTTTGCCGGACTTCTTCCTCAGAGGGATGCACCCATCTTGAGCCTGGAGGAGGTGATGCTTGACTATTAACCAGCTTTCTTGGACCTCGCTTCCTTCAAGGGCCCTACCCCATGAGATTCCTCCAAGAAGGTCCCTGAAGAGGCCAAAGTTTGCCCTCCTGAAGTCCAGGGTTGCAATCCTGCTTATTGCCCTGCTCCCTCCTCGTAGGATCGGGAACTCCACCATCTCATGGTCACTGCAGCCAAGGCTGCCCCCAACCTTCACATCTCCAACTAGACCTTCTTTGTTTGTTAGTACAAGGTCCAGCAGCACACCTCTCCTTGTTGGCTCCTCCACCACCTGTGCCAAAAAGTTATCATCAACACTTTGCAGGAACCTCTTAGACTGTTTGTGTCTAGCTGTGCTTGTATTTATCATTTTCTGAAAAAGATAAGCTTCTATAGCTGCTGAAATCCTCAAAATTTTGTGAAGGAAATTTGAATGCATAAACCGTTTCAAACTAGGAATGGAAAAGAACTCACTCACATATTCTAGAAAAAGTAACTTTATCTTGCTCAAAATTAATTAAAATATGTGCCAAATACTGAGCACTTTTCTTGCCAAATAAAATTCACATATCTTTAAAATTCCTTTAAAAATGTGTATTTTCATATATAAATAAACACTGTTTCACTTCCACATTGCATGCTAGAATACATCTTTTTGTTGATCGTTTTGCTCTACGCATTGATGACTTATTATTAAAGTGAGTGATATTCAGTCATGCATTCAGATAGATGGTTTATTTTCCATTCTCTGTCTAGAAGAAATTCAACACATATTCCTATGCCTTAGAAAAGGATTCAAATGAACAATACATGTAATAGTCATATCAGTTTAAGGTATTTATACACATATTTCATTTAAATAAAGACATGAGTCAGGATCCTACAATCCACATAAATATCTCAAACTAAATAGTGTGATATAATCTCTGTGCTGTTGACATTACCATTACCTGTTTCTGTTATTGCCTATGCCATTACTGTTACTTCCTATCCATTTCTCAGATAAAAAGTTGCAAAGATTCATTTGAGGATACTAGTGATCATATTTGTACTTGAAAGGCTGATGTTCATATTACAGCATGACCCACAAGCTTATCAGCAATTGTCTTTTATTTAGAGTGAGTGATATGAAAAGCCTGTAGTGTATCCGCCATCTGTGATTTTACTTATCAAATCTGTAGACAAAATGCAAATGGAATTTTCACCAAAAAGTGAAAACTCAACACAAGCTTCAGCTGTCAAAAGTCTTCAGGAATGATTGCAAAAGCTGGAGTCACAATTCAACAGGAATCCCACGTCTCAACATGAATTCAAACTCATCTTTTCAGACCGGACTCAGAAAGACTCGAAACAATGGTTGGTGCTTTTCTGTGGCTGCTGGTCACTGATTATCCTTGTGAATACACTGTTTAGAGGCTTTTTATCAACATGAGGCTGCCACATTTTTGCAATGCCTTTATGTAGCAATATATATTTCTCTTCCTACCACAACCAGTGGAGCGGTGCTACAATTAGTCAGCGCTACCGCTAGGCCAATAGCGATTTGTTAGTATTCATGCTGCAGAGTCCTAGATAGTATTTAAGCAAGGAAGTCACATGATTTCATTCACCACCACATACTCTGAAGTCTTGAGCCACACCAAAATCATCTGCCAATAGAATTTTCTAATTGAGCTTCCTAAACTGAGAAGCCAAATAAACAAACAAATCAACTGCAAAACATTAACAGTACCACAATTGTTTTAGGCTTTTTCCATTACAAAAGCATTCCCCACTCTCTTTAAGAACTGAGGAATCCACAGGGCAGGAAAAACAAAGTCACCTAATGGAAATCCTTTATGCCTGGAGAAGTAGCAATGACAAAAGAAGGTATCAACAACACTTCTAATGGTTCTTAGAATTCTCTTCTATCTTTGCTTATAAAAAAGCGGGTATGTACATGTGTACATTTTTCAATACAGTTCCCATTTTCTTTTGGAGAAATCTTTTGTGTTAGCTTTTTGCCAGTGATATTTCTGCTAAGATGATACAGAAGAATCCTTCTCCTAACGCTATCCCTTACAGGTTGATCTCAGCTGACAGCATCACACTTGCTTTCCACTTGCATGAATTGCATGAGCAGTATGATCACAGTGCATACAGGTATCATCTGCTCTAGTATGCAAAAGTCCATTATGAAAAAATCTCGCTGAAACAGCAAAAAGCATCAGGTATTTGCCTTACTGAATTAACTTCTGAGGTTCCTCCCGTGCTGTGAATCCTCAGCTCCACCCCAAAATCACGAGGACGGAGGGTGTCTCAGTGCCTTCTGGGGTCAGTCATTACAGAATCCAGTGAATGCAAAGTCAGCTCCACTGAAGGACCTGGTGAAATCTTTATATAAATTGAAATACTCCAAGGTCTCATTTTAAAAGAAGCCATAATCATGGCATGCTAAATTACTTTGAAAGTCAGAGCAGATATGTCCGGAATGTCTGGCATCTTTTTATGTAACATCACCAAAAATTAGTAAATCCAATATAATCTGCATTTATCAAATTCTGATGATTAGTATATTTATATAAAATGCAATATCCTACATAAATAATGTATTATTTACAATAGTCTGAGTATTACTGTGTTTACATAGAATGAATACACTATATATATCACAGCTATGTAAAAACTATAGTCACATAAGAGGCTCAGCATCATAGTATTTCTCATATGATTAGTCATTGTTCTATACTTCAACTAACAACAATAATATATTCATATGTACTATATAATAACCCCAATACAGAGTTCAGCTCTTACGATGCTAATACACACCAAAATGAAAAAGATAAGAGATTGCTCATCTTTAGATCAATTTAAGTTTTTTTAAAAAAAATAATAATGCAGACCTAGATTTTTGATGTGCCGAAATACACTTTAAATCAAAGATCTTACTGTTACACTTCCAGAAAGCGCAGCGTAACAAAAATGTACATGAGGATCCTGTGATGCGTTACGACATTCACAAGGTATAATTTTCTAAGAGAGAAATAAATCCTATAGGTCATTTCCAGCACAGACCTCACAATATAAAAAAAGATACCTCTAAACAAATTAATAAACTATCTTGCATTAAATAAATCAATTTCATGTACATAGTGATCCTAATCTTCAGGCTCCATTTATTGGTAAAGACAGAAGACTTATCCACAGCACTGCTTTCTCCTAAAACTGTGCTGCAGACTCCAGTGACAACGATATATCTCTTGTTATCTGTTATTTTGCAGAACATTTTCTTCCAAAAGTGTCTCCATACATTGACTATTACGCTCCACAATTATCACTGTAGCAGTAGGGGACACAATAAAGCAATGAATGTGTTTCCATTTTTCTCATCCTCAATTGGGGAAAAATAAGGAACTTGCCTTACAGAATTAGGCGGGAAACAGGTTATAGCAGCAGGCATGACATGAAGCAAAGCTTCACGTAAGAGGAGCCAAAACAACCACAAAATGAGCACACATGCTGTTGCTTTCCCAAAAAGCTGGGCTTTTCACTTTTTTCACTGGGCTGGGCTTGTTCAGGAACAGTGTAGCAAGCCCCAAGAGTAGCCCCTACAATCCAGAGGCTCCAGCCCTCACCAAGCTGCTCTTATACGGCCCCACATTTTCAAGAAAATTCAGCTATCTCAGTCACTGTTCATAAACGTTCGAACATTATTTTTAAATCTCACCACTAGAAGCAAAAAACCTGAGAGGATACAGCTGTTGTCCACTGTAATACATGCATGTTCTGTCCCCTCAATATTTGCTGCACATATTTGCATTCACAGGGACAAAGACAGGGCTTAGAATTTCAAATTCTATGGAACTGATTTCATTTTTAGCCCTTCACACTTGCATCTCTCCAAGGATAAGCTGCACAGCACAACCGCTCACCTGTCATAAGCTCCCTACTATCACTCCTGCCCACACGAGCAACCAGCTATCCCATCCACCGTACAATACTGAACAACCTTTCGATGGGCCTATGTTAAAACACTAACAATACACTTTTAGGACTCAAGATTAACTCATCCTCTAATTTCATTCTGCCTTTCTTCTGTATTCTTGGATGAATATCATTTTAAGAATCAGATCTTTCTAGCCTGCGCAAGGCCATATGCAAGGGAGGAGCAGAACTGAACCCAGGCCAACACCTGTTCATGGACACAGCCTTTCCCTCTGCAGACTCGAGGAAGGTTGGAAACGGATGGATGCACCACCCAAAAAGGCGGTGCTGCCTTCCAACAACTGTTACAGTCGCTGCATCCACGGGACAGGCTGAACAACAAGGTCAACATGGGCCCCTGCAGAGGAGAAAAACCCTTATATTTCCCTTCTGGTCTTGCACTTAAGATTTACTTATTGTGTTGCAAAATACATCGACACTTGTGTTGTCTGAGGTGAAACATGCCATCTGATTATTAGTAAGAATCAAGTCAAATTTAATTACTTAGACATCTGAGATCCAATTATCCTGTCATTTGCACGTGCACAATACCAACTGACCTCAATGAGAGTTGCATGTGCACTGCTGATAGGACAATTGATCCCTGGTAACTCAGCTCCCACAAATCTTCCTCCAAAGAGGAGCCAAACCAGCATTGTGATAAACGTACAGAACTTCAAAGGAAAAAGAAGCTAAACTTACGGACACACATTTCCCTGCTCTCATAAAATCCAGGACAGCACTGGGATTTACGTCTGTACATTGTCTTTTCACCATGTCTGTAGGCGGTACGGTAACTGATTCTGAGGAAAAAAATGAATGGTTGTTACATATATTTTATGGTTTGGAAAGTAAATAGTTTACATTTTCACACATTTTAGAAAATCTTTAAGTATGAACAAAAGGACAGAAAAAAACCCTTAAGAAAGAGAGACACCTTGATTTATCTACTGTTGATTTCGGTCTCAGTGGTTTCTTTTGGAAATTCTCCATCGCAAGCCTTATTTCCATGGGTGGACAGGCAGCAGTTAAAAAAAAAAAAAAAGTCAAGAATTCTGGCTACTTAACCAGTACGTAAACTAGAGTACTGCTGCCTTTAACATCAGCATCCTCCACGGAGGTTAGAGGCTGGCAATACCAATTAGTTTGCTAGATATTACAGGTATCAATTTCTGAAGAAACAACTTCTGGGGATTATCCTCATGAAGACTGCAGGACGGTGGTGAGCAGCGCACAGAAGGGAGAGTAAATCATCACATAAAAACAGCAAGGGAGTGCACAAAGTGTTGCTTCTTTCTGCCACAAGCAAGTAAAGTGATCAGAAGCAGGCTCTTCTCTGCACTCTCCCTCTCCACTCTTCACTGCGACCTTAAATCCCTCCCCCAGACTCTCCCGGCTGCTGACTACATATTGCACAAAGCAGTAAACACATCCTCACAATGTGTGAGGATGTGAGTTTGAACTCTCAGCAAAGAGCAGCATGCATCTAAATGGCACCATATGTAAATAAAAAAAAGTATAATCTCTCTTTGAACTTAGTATCTGCTTTTCACATTCTATCCACATCGAGCTGCTTCCTCCCAGCTGCTCTGCCCCAGGGAACCTTTCCCATTGCTGATCCTTCATACTTATGGGCACATTCCCCTGCGGAACACGGCTTTTACAGCTGTCTAGGCCAGTTTTGAATCATTCACTCCTTGCTTACTTTTTTACAGTGTGCAAGAAGGAGCTTCCTTTAGGAAATCTTTTTATTTTTCTGTCAAGTAGCACCCACTTTCCCCAGAACATACAGTTATGAGCAGCAAGGCAGAGAGATGTCTCATATGATATTTCTGACCACATACTCCTTACAGGATCTGGGGCATTTAATTTACCGTAGTGCGTGGTTTTTTTTTCCTAACCTGTTCTTTTTCTGTTAGTGCTCCACAGGATGATACACCCTGACCTGCCAATAAAACATATGTGATACTGCTTGGCCTAGACAAATGCATTTTCCAGTTGACACAGACCGTAACAGTTAGACAGATTAGTCTTTATAGCTAAAATATCCTATATACTTTACTTGACTTTAACAGATAAAACCTCTACAAATGCCTACACTATCAGTAGTTTGGCAGTATTAATAATTACACATTACCTGTGTCGCGTGCACTTGAACCAGTTTAGGATGTCAGTACAACTGGTGTAGTAAATTTGATCAAAAGGATGTGGATATGACTCTTGCACTGTAACTGAATAACTGGGGAGAGAAAGAGAGTAGACATATTATTGAGGAAGTCTTTTGCAGTAAAGTCTGACTACAGTAAGTCGTTTACGCAGTCCTGGAAAGTGGCTGTAGTTAGAACTGACAATAGGTCACATATTTAAGCGTATCTTTTAAGCAAGTCCAATGACACCCAGAGGTGCCCACATTAACAGCGTACATAACACTATAAGACTCACTCTGATCCATTTTTTTTTGCTTCCTAAGGTGAGGAACCTGCTAAAAAGATGATCTGTGAGTCCTCAGAAGCAAAGTTGTACAGCCAATTTCAAATCAACGCTAGCTATTACAAATGATCTACTGGAATCTGCTTTCTACCAGCTATTCTATCTACTACCTATATGTTTACTATTTCTTAACTCCACTTTAAAAACATAGGCATAAGACATTTACCAACACTCATCACAGAACGCCTCAATAGAAAGGTATAATAAAATATTGATGTGTAACCAAAACTCACCAGAAGGTGGAACTTCAAGTAAAATATGAACCAGAGGTAACTATTTAAAATGCAATCAGAAGATATGGATTGAAAGTTTTTTTTTTTCCTAAGAAAAATATATACGCGGAAGACAATGATGTCTCTGCTGAGTAATGCATTTGATTAAAAAGTATTATTAGATATTTAGAGAAAAGTAACATAAAACTAAGTAACAAAAAGCTTTTTCTCAAATGAAGGGCAAACTGAAGAAGTAAGGCAGTGAGATTTGCAGCACGTTCTCTCCTGTGGCAATAAACTTTTAGTAATATTACTGGATGCAGAGGTACTAGTTAGGAGCCACAGAATTAGGCTTCTTCTACTACTATACAAAACCAAAAAAATCTCACTGGATTTTCTGAGAAATTTCTTTTAAAACCTCTATCCGTATCCACAGCAAAACCTCTCCACTGGTTCTGGAAAGCGGTATCAACACACTGCAGTGAGCACTAAAACAGAAATATATACATAAGTTATAATTACTGAAAATAGAAAATATTGAAAATTATGCCATGTAACAGTCTGCTCAGCAATCAGAAATTATAAAATGTTGAGTCCATACTTTTTGTTTGTTTGACTGGCTAACTTTTAACAGAGATAATTTTTTTCAGCAATACTATGCTGAACTCCTATTATCATTTTCTGTCAAGTTACAAGCGCAGTGTTGTAGAAACGCCTCTGTGCTCTAGCACCCAAAGGCCGCAGAGAAGTCAGCAAGGCAAAAGGAACAGAGCTCCGTTACAAAAGAGAAAAGTATTGAATCATCCTAGAAAACTCTTAAGCAGACTGTTTGTGCTGGCAATAAGTCAGGTCTCGATTGCATAATGGGGTTAGAAACTACGGGAATGCACGGTACGTTTCTTCTCCAGCACTAACTCCCAGGACCAGTCAAAACACTTACTAATTATACAGCCCATCTGGCTTTCACTTACAGTGTCTTTGACCTCTTAGCACCTATTACAGGGTAACAGCCACAACCTCGTTTTCCTACTGTCATCACCTATACTGAGAGGAAACAAGTCCAGATCGGCTTGCCCTAGCTACCCGAAATTTACTCTGTTTTCCCTGTGTCCATATAAAGGCAAGCAAGTCTAATCCACCCAGCTGTCAGACCGAGTCCAACAAAATGCTTGTCGGTTGCCGACGCTTAACCGAGGGGCTCTGCGCTTTTCGTTTTACACAGGGCCCGCTCTTTTCATTCCTGCTGCAATCGCAGCTCGTTTATAAGGATCGTTTCATTATGGGGTGGGCTATGTTATTTAATGTGTATAGACTGCCAGTGCCAGAAGCAGCAAAGAGCTTCTACCTTGCAGTTTTACTCTTTCACGCTCCTGTACTTTTGATACCCGCTCTGAGCAACAGTGTAAGTGTTTCAGTAAGTTTATTTGAAGTTCCTCCTCATTTTTAAGCCTCAGGTAGTGGCAGAAATTAAAAAAAAGCGTTCATTCGACAAGCTGGACATGCTTGCTAAATATGCATTTTTTCTGCAAACTGGATTAGTTTGTGTTCCAATACATTATACGCTGTAAATAGTTATTTTTTCCCCCACTTTGCTTTCACTATGTTGTAGCTTCCCTCAAACGCACTTTTGAACAAAGACAATAAACAGAAAGCATACAGCTCTTGGAGTAGCATCCAATAGTGTCCTACATTTTCGAATATTGTAAACAGTATTAAGCAGGTGCACAGTAACAGGTATTTCGTATGGTAACTCCTTGATATACATGCTTTTGTATATGGCAAATTGTACACAAAGGTATGGGCAGACACTCCAAAAGCTTCACTCCAAATGCTCAGAGAAATTGCTGGGGAAAATTTTTAAGGGCTCTTCTAAGCATATAGACTTCATGAAAAATCAAATACGAGTTTCAGCTTTCTCTGTAAAGATCCAGCGACAACAACTGGACCTGCACAGCGGCTCAGGAGCGCTCCCAGTGTTTAAACATAAAATACTATTTACCTCAAATTCAGGAAGCATATGCAAGTCCTCAAATGAACAGTTAGCCTCTCTCAAGGACCAGCTGATCAGTTACAGGCATAATTAAGTAATAATAACGAGACCATGAGGCACGGCTTCATTATCATAATCTTTATACACGAAAAGTAGTACAACAAATGCTTACAGTTTAATCTTCCCTACCCATTGTGCACATTCTACTGGTAATTAATGTGAAATTGGGTAAAGGAAAAGACTAACTAGATTGATGAGTTTAGAGCCGTACATTATAGATTTCTAACCTCATCAAAAAAATTAAACAATAAATCTTAATTTAGATTCAGGGAACGTTGAAAAGGAAAGAATCAGCATAATCAAACTTGGCCAAACTCCAATATGGCTAATTATATTCTGCATATGTAAAAGGTTCCCTTTTATTTAAATCGAAAGCAGTTATTTTTATTCTCTTCTTGTCCCTGGACTGTTCTGCAGTGTTGCTGGTGCCAGTGCAAAGTTTTTTTGCGTTGTATCTCTACCACAAAGATAGCTGCATTTTAACACTGTGTGAAATGACCTTTTACTAACCAGTGAGCTTATTTTGCCACTGTGGTAACACAAATTTTTATTCCCAGTTCACTATTTGACTAGAAGCTTTAAGTCATTTGAAATGCACTAACTAGAACAGAACAAAATAGTTATAATCAGAATCTGTATCATGTATTTTCTAAAAGAAAATATTACCTTTCCCAGTGGCTACACACATTTGGATCCTCAAGATTCAAAGGTAAAGTTGACCCCATCCAATGGTATAGAAGTACAACAGAGAAGCCAAAAAAGCAATTCAAATGAAGAACCATCTTCTCGAAAAGGTGACCTATAAGAAAAATAGTAATAATACATTAGCGGTATCATACACATGATAAAAGAGCGGAAACTATTGATCTGCTATACTAAGAGATATATAATCCCAGGTGAGAGACTATAAAGCAACAGGTACTCCACAAGCGTGTTGTGATTGCCTAGCACCACCAACACCATGCCCATGCCGGTAGAGCGCTCAGACTTGGTAGTTTCTGATAAACGGTAGATGGCAAGGAAGTGAACAAGCGATGCTTCTGGAGACGCGGCTGTCCCATTAAACTGCAGGTAGCCAGGCTCATAGCTGTTCTTACCACTAAGTAACAGGCTCCAGTTTAAAATAAAGGCTGGCATTGGCTCAAGACGGTGGAGGGGAGTCTGAACAAGTCCTGCCCTGGCGCAGGCTGGCCAGAGAAAGGCAGAGAGGTCGGGGGGCAGACGGGCACGAGAGCAACAAAAAGTAATATACAGATGTGTCACAGGCAGGGTCTCTGTGTTCATTTTTTTATGCTAACTTATAACTGAAATTAGCTAGACACATGAATACTCAGTCCTTCGAGATGCTAAACGGCACCATTAGCAGGAGCAAAGTGTGCTTGAGATTTGCAAAAAGTGGCACAGCACCTTTTAGTAACTAACTTGTAATTCTCTCGCAAGGCAATTAATCAGGGGAAGGATTTAAATGACTTTGCTTTAAATTGTTACCAGAGAGCATTGCATTACATTCTACATTGTTTCTGCTCTTTTTAAGTTGAATTCCCAATACGGTTTGCATAAATACCCCCTCCTGTGCCAGTTGCAATTACCAAATAGAATAATCATTCTGCTCATCAAAAAAGTTTTTGTAACAACATAAAACCCTAAAAGGCTATCCTAATATTTTGACGAGGTCTATCTCTTTTTTCAAAGCAAGTGATTATAATTTGCATATTGAAACGCTTTTAATCTAACCTGTCATTAATCCACGAAATGCCAGAATGAACACTGGTAATTTTTGTTTGTAATGGCTTAAGCTATAGTACTTTCCTCTCAGTGAACATCAGACCCTATGTCTTTCTTCTTACACACATTTTAACACTATGCAGCTTCTGAGACCAGGAAAAAAATCTGAGATCGCTGAAACTAATTTGTAATAATTCATGAAATAAATTTCTAATTGATGTGTTTATTTTGAAAGAAAGCAACTATTTTGAATACATTAACCAGAAACAGAAATGCCTTACTTCATATGTTATAGAACAGAATAAAGTAACACACACAAACAGCTTATTTTAAGAGAAGAAAGTTGACTGGACCATGGAAAAGAGTACTTTTCAGTACCTTCTTAAGAAGTGAATATAAAAAATTCACCACAAGAAAATATTGTATTTAAAATAGCTGAGTTTTTTTTTTTTTTAAGAAATGGTTAAGAACACAGAGATGATCCCATTTTGCTAAATCCCTCTTGAAAAATCAGGGCTGCTGAAAAACATTTCATGCTCTGGAACTGTCGTAACTGCCTCTCTGCACGTACAAGGCACAGAACAGAAGTCAATGGGCAGTTGTTAAGAAGGGAATTAAAGCAGCTCTATTTTCAGATAATAAGTTCAGCAAAGTGGCGATTTCCCTCATTAAAAGTTGTCATTTCAATTATATGCAGACAGTAAACTGTATTTCCTTATTTTATTTTAACTTCAGTAACTTTCCATTCAGATATATTTAACAAAACTTAAAATGTTAAAAAAAAAAATCATTTGCATGAACCCCCTAGTGTAAAACTTGATTGCATTCCAGATCTTTTGCTTAATTATTAAGGAAAATCAAAACAGAAAATCAGTACAACTGATTAGCATTGCTAAAGTGTTTATATTAGCAAAAAAAACCATGGATGACTCATTTAACTCTTGCTGTCTACAGTTTGCACTGAAAATACCCTGTTCAAAGATTCACTTTTTAAATCCTATATTGCTTAAACTATTTCAGATAATAATATGCCAGTATCTTCATTATCTACATACATACACATATATACACACACATATATGTAGTATATGCAGTTTCGGTACTGAAAATGTTCCCAGTATGCCTTCTGTATGTAAATTAGTGATTAAGAGAAATAAGAGAGAATAAATAACTCAAAGTTGGAACAGAAAGCTCATCTGACCTGCAAGATACTGGATAATTTCTGTCTCTGGTGTTGTAAACACATGCTACCAGGCATAAAGCTTTCTCCTGTGAGTGGCACAATTGACCTCAGTGCAAAAGAACTTCAAAGAGGTAAATGGTTCCCAAAATGCTCTCTAATATCCCACAACACGGTTACATATACAGAAAGAACCATGAAATTTTTCATACTGCATTTAAAGCAGCAAAATCGCAACACCGCTGGCTGAGATGGCAGTGACAAGACCATGCTAGCAAAGTTAGCAAAGCACATTTTCAAATCACTTTGATTACTAACCAGTCTGTACAAGTCTTTCTGTGCAAGTGAAGTGTCTGACTTTGCAATCCGATTGCACCCAAAATTAATTTAACCCAGCCTAAGGCATTTTACTGCCAGGTCTTTCTTTCCACTAAAGTATACAACTGAATCAATACTTCTCAACAGAAAACTAAACTCTTATTGCCCCTTAACATTTCATGTTATTACTATTGGAGGAAAAAACTTCGGTTTACAAAGGTGCATGGTTTTACTCCCACTGGAGCTGGAGCTTTAAGGCAAGAACTGTGCAACGTGAGGTCAAGGTCTGTTTAACTCATAGACTCCTCAGTTTCCACAGATTTTGAGTCAAGCCCACAGTTTCTAAATGTAACAGGAAAGCTATGCAGCTGCATGAAGCAACAGTAGATTACTCCCCTACATTTATGTAATCTAATTAGAGAAATTTAGCTCATTACATGTTTATTAAATCAAATGGAAGTGTTAATAGTCATCAATAACAGTCATATTAAAACATTCAGCTGACAACCCCAAGGCACGTTATAATTACTAACAAGCATATTTTAAGATGCGGGTATAACAGGTGCACAGGTATCCCTGTATAAATACAGAGAGTTAACCAATATAACACATCATCTGACATCTGTAGGCATTTTCTCTCCCCCTACCATCAGTGTTGACAGTTTTGCACACTTTTTGTTTTGGTGTTTTTTCTCTAGTCCAGGATCAAAAGAAGAAAAAGAAGAAAAATAAATAATAAAGTAAAAAAAAAAAAAGCTTCTCCTCTGCATACTGAAAACCGAGACACGATTTCAAATGAATCTCTCAGCCTTCCAGAGCAGAGCCAGGAGCACAACTCGGCACATAGATCTCCCCCAGCCCCCAGCTTATGCTCTCTCTTAACAAAATGTAAATATTGGTGGAACTGGGGGAGTGAAGGAAGATAAAGTAATGCAAAACATAAAAGAAGAAAAGGTTGCTCAAGGCTATGAGGAAATATTTTATGGTCAGCAAAACCAAGTGCTGTTGGTGAATTAAGCAGGATTAGACCTGCATGAGCAACAGAGAATACTATGATACAGTTGCTAACATGACATAAAGGACCCAAGACCAAGGGAAATGCTGATGTAGCTTTTCCATTACTGTTGCAAAAGCGTTTTTATCGCTGCAACATAAAACATGCAGCAGAAACATGCCATTTAATGAGAAGAGGAACTTCAGGAGATCTTTTTGTAGCCTGCCATCGTATCTCTAAGGTTTTACAATGCTCATTGCGGTCTCTCTGCCGTGATATGGCCCAGGTATTTCAATTTGCTCTGGGCTGTAATACCATGGATTGTTTTTAATTACACTTACATTACACTATCCCGCATATATGGCAAATGCTGCTTTTCAGAAATCTTCCTTACGCTCATCATACGTAAACTTTCAGACTGAATTTGTGAACTACAGTCATTAATGGAGCTGCCCTTGCAAGTCTCTTCTGCCCTCGCAACCTCTAAAGTCAGATAAAGTCGGCACACCATAACACGTGGTGATTGCTACCAGCCAAAGCGCATGATGGCTCCAGATGAGATACAGATTTTTTTTTTATTTTATTTTTTTTACCATGTAAACATTTTCTGGTGAAGAATTCCTTAGTTCTTCTCTTCACTTCCTACTTAATGGTTTTCATAACATTATACTGTTTTCACTCCTGAGGTTGAACTCCTTTACCAGGGGCGTAATTTGTTTATAAAATCATCTTGTAAACTCCTAGTGCCAGACAAAGCAAAATTTGAACCTGACCTAATCTTGTCAGTGATGATTAGTTTCATGTGAACTTCTGACTATGAAAGAAACTGATTGCTTTTATTGATTACATTAGAGAATTAATGGGCAAAGAGCAGAAGGCTTTTTTCCTTTGGAAATTGGCAAGTCAGCTTGATGCTGCGTCACATGAAACCTCACCCACAAAACATATACGAATTAACCTGAATAGGAGCATTATCACGCAGTCCCTAGACCGGCTGAAGAACTGTAAACAAGGCAAGTGTAAATAACTGGTACCATGGTTAAGTTAAAAGGCAGTCCTCCTGTAGGAAACCAAAATCAGTGTTAGATTTATAGAGCTTTCTCAATGATCTGTAGAAAAGATATAAGCAACATACCACAGTTAAATTGACAAATAATATTAAGTTGAGCAGCACATCTGATAATATCAGGAGATAAGAAGATAGAAAAATAAGAAAACAATATTCATGCTAAAAAAATTTTAAAAAGGATAAAGAATAATTTAGTACAGAGTCATTCAACAGAAGAAAGATACCTGCAAGGTAGCAATGTCTGGAGAGATCTACAGTGATACTAGACTGCAAATCGCATATAAGCTTGCAATACATTCCAGCAGCTAAAGACCTTTCTCTTTTTGAGCAGCAGAGGCATCTCGCCATAGGACAAAGTAGTAGTGATGCCTCTGGTTACAGCCCTTAAGACAAACGATATGCTATAATATCTGTGCACAGTTTCAGAAAGATGAGAGCAAATTGGAGGGAACTGAAGGGAGACAAAATCATTAAAGAGCAGACAGAAACAGTGGTTTTATTCGGGGAGTAGGT